AAGGAAAAGGCCCCAATAGGCCACTGTTTTGAGATGTCAAGTTGTAATTTATCGCATTTAGTATGTGTTGCGGACTGTGCAACTCGCCTAACAAATACGTTAAGAGACTCATATTCGCAAAATTTGGAAATATGTGAATAATTCATATACGGAGAAATCATACATTACCGTTCATGTTGTTCTCAAATCAACAACAATAATCCATGGGATAAATCTAAGTCAAGTGTAAATGGAACATCCACGGGATTATCGCCTGCAAAATACATTTTAAATACGTCCGCCTCGCATAAGATGACGAAGTGAGGCGTGAGTGTGGTGTTGGAAACGGTCGCCGGTGCAACGTGCTTTTTTTCTTTAGTCTATCTGGGCACTCATCAAACGAACGAAGGGATATCAGCCTACAAGGTCTTACTTTTTATTGGACTCCTAAATTTATGTTGTCCCACCAATGGTTTAACTATCAAGCTCGTCTCGGTTCTAATGGCATAACTTTGGAATAGTACATAAAGAAGGCTATCGCCACCTTCTAGCTACGCTCAAATCTCCATTGATTAGATCAGCATCTGACTACACGACGTCTAATATTCATTGAATCTCAATATGAACAACTATCAACCCATCACTAACCGTCGTGATGGACTGATCATTTTATTAAGTACTGGAACAATCACTTACTTTGTTCTGTTGTCTACTGGACTTTTGTTTGAACTGTTACATTCGTCTTTCTCTGAGATCAGTAACCGAATATTCGATTCCCTATCAATACTTTACTTCTTCCTTGGAAATTTGATATTCAGCTCTATCACCGTCCTGGATCGGATCTCGTCCGCAGACCTCAAATGCTTTAGAAACGTTGCATTGCTGGGTTTAATTTGGACCTCATCCATACCATTTCTATATTATCAGTTCTATCAGGCTGGCTTCTTGATTACAATTCTCATCCTTTCCATGACGTTTGGCTTTGTGTGGGCTGCGCAAATCGCGTGTACGGTTCGAGGACAATGGGAGTTCAAATTTGTATGTTTTGTCCTCGGGTTATTAGCCCTTGTACCTGCACTTTATGCAAACTGGCTGCCCTCAGCATGTCGCTACAATCTCGCTCCCGAGTATCTGAAGTACTCTATATATAATGCGATGGGTGGACTTGTCTACCTTTTAAAGCTGCCTGAGAGAGCAGGTTATCTCACCCAGTATCAAATCAGCCTTTTCGCAGCTCATTGCCTAGTGATGACGGCAGCTGTCACTCTCTCAGATCAATTAATCGCGGCTTATCAATCCGAAATACCTGTATCCACTTTCATGTGTGGGATCTGAGCCGAGTCTTAGGCAGGAATGGCAGTGTTCAAGAGCAGCAGAGAAGGCCGCTAGGGCGCTTGAGTTAGAATTGCGAACTTTGCTGTCTGCATGCCCTTACATACTCTCAAACTACTGTTGAAGTTAATTGCAATACTTGGATTCTTGATTTGCTTTTGGTGCCTCCAGAATCTTCGCGGACCAAGACAGACGGATCGTCTCTAAAATTGATGCATACGCTAGGTTCAATAAATAAAAGGCCACGTGCCTTAGAAATTAAGTATATGGATTGTTTAGGATCTGGCAGAGTTTGACTATAGAAACCATACCTTCGTATAGCAGGTTAGCGCTTCAATTCGGCCACAGTCAATATGGCGATCTAACTATGTAAAACAAAGAATTCAAGATTCAGCTAGCCCTAACACATGACAGTGTATCGTCCTTGTTCAATCCCACATGACTACGCTATATCTTCTACATTGGAATATCTTATCGATAGTAATCACAAGCGGAGCCGAGTTGTTCAATCCCTAAGTACAATGGCTACCATGACAACTCAATGGCACGAGCCACTATTGACTGTCTCTGAAGAGCCTGAAATCAATTGCCAAGTCATAGAGACCCGGCCTTTTCCTAAATTAGTGAGTTCCTGAAACGCGCCTGGGCTGACATCTATATCTGTCGTTTCACACCTATCGCATCGATCAACGACCTGAACGTCCACACTCTTCCCATCGTACCACAATCGCAAGCTCATTTTGCATAAAGGGTTGTCGTTCGGATTTGTGGACAACGCCGCAGCATCATAAATTACACGAGAGACGGCACAGACCCGGTCTGAGTTCTGGGTCCAGGTCCCGCAAGCCCCGAGTCCCACGTCATACCAAGTAAGATCGCCTTTCCAGGGCCCAGCCTTGCCACTGAGGATCGGGAGATCTAGCCTAATGATTATCATCAAAATTAGAATAGGAGGGACGCAGCAAACCACAAAGCTGACGTACTCTTTTGCATCCGTCAATCCTACCGCAAGACTAGTTCCTAATATCATCGCCGTCATGGCCACCATTATACGGCGTTTGTTATTTACTGTAGGGTATTCGAGGTATTTTCTTCTTGCCTTCAGGTAATAAGCTCTCAATCATCTGCACTTGGAGAACGGTTGTGATGCCGAGACCAGCATCGGGTTTATCTAGGCCAGCAGGTGAAGGTTTTCCGCTCTGGCGTGCAAATTCCAGTCCTTATTATTAGAAGGAATGTGGATTTATGGTGGTGGTTCAAGGCCATGCCAAGTGAGTACAACATAGATATTATAATGCTACCTGGATGAAAGGTATCTGAAGTTGATCATTAATTTAACTAATTGAACACACGAGTATGAAAATGTGGAACCACATCGTTTAAACTGATCCTACATATTGATGGCTTGAAGACAAAAAGGTGGAAACGAGGGTAGCGATCCTGTTAACACTTTCGTGTAGAAAACATTCATTCTTATAGTCGTATTTTAAAATACAGAGATCATTCTGAAAACTAGAGCATCGGATATACAGCCCATCATGACTTGTGGACTTCGGATATATTTTCCGGGAACTAAGTCGTAAATGCTTGAAGATACACAGTGGAATAAAGCAGAATACACTTCTCAATGACTAGTATCTCGCCAATGTTGATAGTACTGGACGACATTGCGATTAATGAGGTATGCAATCAAGCATATCTGACCTGAAGAGAACAGTTCAAGAAAGTGATACTTGTTCAGTTTGTCTTAAAGTCTTGCTTTGGGGCTTTTAGCTAGCTACATTGTCCGGTTTCGTAAACGTCAAATACGAGATGTGTCGTAAAACATGAGGTGATTGCTTTGCTTGTGAAATTTGGATGGAAATGGAAGTCATCCTGTGACGCATCATAATACATAGATTGGTTTACAAGCCAGTACGATAAATACAGGTCTGACCCTGAAGCACGAGGAGTGGGTATCAGGATTTCAGAATATGCAGAAACATGAGACCAGGGGCTACAGTAATCAGGTGCTCCAACATTCTCAGACCGAACAAGATATATATGTGACCAAGGCAAGGTCCAATGCATGAGCAGAGCCTTCGTTTTTTTCCCAGGAATGTTTGAGCACAAAAGTGGGAGCTAATAAAACTAAGAAAATGGGCTTGGCATATACTGGTTATCACCGTCGATTGGTGTTCTAGGCTCCTCCTTTCTGTCGTTACGGTGGGGCACGGCCGGTTCATGTGATGTCTGTGCTTCTAGATCTGGGGGGTGGCCGCCATTGCGGTAATACTGGGGGCGCCGCAACGAGAATATAGGTGGGCTGCGAACGACAAATTGCCGCTCAGCTTTTGGGGCATAGTCTGCCGGGGTTTTTCGGATCACCGGAAACCTTTGTATCTGCTGCATCCGTCATCAGCATGTGAACAACATTTACGATGCTCACGAGGTCCGCCACTTACCAAGTCGGCTTCATTAGGAGGGGCCTCGTCCTCCTTCGTGTAAAACGTGTAGACCGAACCGCTCGGCATTCGCATTGTCAACCATATATCCATATCGTAGCGGTCGTTGAATTCTTTCAACCTTTTGAAGAGATTATGCCGACGCTTACGAATCTGTTCTTGCTGTGCTCTATCATTTGCTCGGCCTGGAGCCAACTTTATTTTCGAATTCGCCATAGCAACAACGAATGCAGTTGCTGATTTTGTCAAGATCTAACGCCCCTTTATGTAGAGTCTACGCACAGATTGATTTAACTCCTAGTGATGTTGTGAAGCAAGTTTTGACTAGGGTTTGACCAGAGTTCTCAACCATGTAACTTGAAGCTTGTGGCCAAATAGGCGGTCATGCGAGGTTGGTGTTTGTTGAATTACGGAGAGGCGAGTCCGACGCTGCAGACTGCCAAGATACCTCGAAGTTCAACTGTTGGTAAAATATTCGGCAACTGGCTGCAGACATTCTTTTCTTTGACCACTAATCTACTAATTCATGCTATGTATTGGGATTGTGGGCAGCAGCTTTAGGGTCCTAGTAATCATTCATTCTTCGACCGCTATACCTTCGTAGGCCCGATATTCCCTCTGTACAGCGTTCATATTTTAGATAGCCAGTAGAAGGTCGGGTAAGGCTGGAATAGGGCTCACTTAAAGTAATGGGCTAAAGGATGTGATGCGAAGCAATTTCCGGGGCGTTTTCGGATTAGCCAGTACTTAATGCATTTGCCGGAAAATTCTAATTTACTATTAAATGGCGGTTTTCTTTGTTACTTACAATCGGCCCTTGGCTGATCTTAGGGCGATGATAAACCCTACTCTACCAGTGGAGTTGGTAGTCTGTTTGTGAGGAAACTGGGCACCTCGTTCGTTTGCGAACCGTTGTAACGAACGCCTTGGCCGCTCTAGTCGATTGACTATACGCACTAGATACCGTTGAGCCTAAGGGCATTTTGACAAACTAGATCAAATTTGCGACCATTCGTCGCTGCTTAGGGCTTATTAATAAGAGGCCGTCTAGTGGTCTTATCCGCCCTAGCCGTATAGCTTTATATTATAAAGAGCACGACCCGGGACATATCTCTTTATACGTTTCAGTTGAGCGTGCGTAGCTTCCTCAGCCATCTCAGCCTTACAAAACCCTCATAACTACAGACTTATTACTACCCTATTGCCGTCCTAGAACCCAGATTCGACGGCAGAGATCAGCAACATATGTCTGCTCCCTATCACACCGCCCCACACTCGACTGGAATTATATGTCCCCGCGACAATGCAATATGGCACCCCTCGGGGCCGGCGTTCGGGGACGCCAGTTTCCTATCAGGCGGGCAGCATGCAAGACAACATCCTTCCCTCAGTACCAAGCTCAGGTGCACCGCTGCCGCTCTAGATAATCTTGCGCTTGAGATTGACGCTATCGTTATAGGCCTCTCAGGGACTCAGGAAGTAGCTGTGCCAGTTCTCATTCAAGACCTTCAAGATGCACGAAGCGACATCGCCTATCTGATTAAACTGGTTCACAAGCAACACTACATAATAGAGGGCAGAGACCAGGAAATCGGAATCTTGTCGCAGAAAGTTTTTAGCTGGCAAACTCTGGTTGCCAATCAAACAGACGGCAATCCTGCGGCTTCGCCAAGAACAGCAACTAGCCCCGCTTCTATGGAAAAAGATCGTAAAGCAGGGTTATAGCCGGACACGCAACAGTGTTGCTCGACGGGCCGGCGGTTTCGTTCCAACTTTTTTTTTTTTCTCTTGATCATCCTCGCTGGTGGAACAGTTCCAGAGCTCGAAATTGGTTACAGATTTCACTCTTCTTTACTATTCTGAGATGTACGATGGATCGAAATTAGTTTTACCGCTTTGCTCTCCTAGATGTCTCTCGAACCCTATTCCGAAATTACTCCTGCCAAGAATACTATCATCTCACAGTCACTTGCCATTTTTCTTGTCCTCAATCTCCTGACAGCCATGTTCAGTAAAGCGTTAAGGGCAATCCCTTTCAAGTGGTGAAGATTTTTACCGTGTCTGAATCTGAATTGCTATCCGTGAGCAGGTCAACCCCTCCCAACACGTCAGGAATTCGGTTCGGTTCCCCCAGCTGCCAAACAGCGGAGACAGCTACACAAGCATGTAAAGTTCAAGCTAATGGTAGAGACGTAAGCTCGGAAAGCTGTGGCTTTGGAACACCACGCGAACGAACTGGAGACTTGGGTGATTCTATGCTGATAAGAAAGTGTTCATGGAGATATATATTTGAATGAGATGATGCAGTGCGCGACATAGCTTGGGTCATAGGTGCTATAGTTATCACAATAAAACAAAAATAGAGAATATTGGTCTAGGGTTGACTACCGTAAAAGACATAGCGCTGGGCCAAATAGGTTAATATAGAATTCAAGAGGTAAAAGTGATTTCGAGCGCGTCTGCAAGCTGAAGGAGGTAGAAAAATGTACAAGCGACTAGTTATGAGAAGGCTCTAGGTCTAGACCACCATGGGAATCGGCGACTTGCAGAGACATCGAATGCATCAAGGTTGCCGATGGAAGATAGGACCTAACACTCCATAGAATATACTCGTTGGTTAGGATGTTTTCGGTCTGTGAGTTGCAATGACTTGATGGGAGGGAAGGTGGCATTGTGATTTTAAAGCTGTGACAATACATGGCCAGTTAGTTACAATACTTCGTTTGGTATTATACCATTCGACCATGTGAGGGTTTCGGATACGAGGGTAATTAAACACGACTTAGTAGCGCATGTGATTAGGGTCCGAAAAAGCTTCTCTGTGTTATCCGACGTGGAAGGCGAAAGTGGTCACTAATTACTGTACAGTTGGTTTCCGACCCATGCGAGTTGGGAGTGCATTGACTCTGCCAAACTACCACAAGTTTCTATGAATATTTATGATCGTGACCTTGCTGCATTTAGCTTCTTCGGTCATTTAAGTTGTGGTTAGTGACTGGCTCTCGACCATATCACGGATAAGACGCAGCTTTAAGGGGACAAGTCTCAGGGCCATATTGTAAGCCTAGTGTAGGATATCTGTCAAGAGTCATTTATAAAAGAAGCCTGTTGCTTAGGGAAAAGAAGAGGAGTGAAGTATAGCAGTTTTCTGTGATTTACGAAACACAAGGTTCCATCCGCATCATGTAAATAGGGTTTCTATTCTAGGAGCAACGGGATCGATAAATATCATATCTGGGCCAGCGTGTTCCAAATTAGGGTTCGGGAATTAAGCTCGAGGAGTGAGGAGGTAAATCTGATTTGGAATAATACTGTATACCTTAAATCTTCGCGTCAAGATGGCCATTTTGGATAAAGTGCTCATTGACTTGTCGCTTATTAGACATCGGCAGCGACCACTTTGAGAATGTTAGCGCCCTCGTTTGCTAGCTCAGCGGTCAAGCCATATCCTCACACAAGAAAAAGCCAAATATCTCGTCCAGGGAAAGGTTTTGGTCAATATTTTGTCTGTCATGTCCATTGTTGATGTCTGGACCTGGCGAAGCCGGAGATGTTTCATTTTGAAGTTGTTGATCACTTGGCCGTTTGCCAACAGTGATGCTTTGGGGTTTTGAAATGCGGCCAGATAGGCGAGATGATTTCGATTCAGGGGAAGATTCCTCCCGAAGGCGTTGACGGTTATATTGTCCTCGAAGTGACTCTACGGTCCTTTTCGTTTTGAACCTCTTATTCCATAAAGCCGTTCGTTTATTCCAAGAGAGTCTGCGTGACTTCTTGATGAATGGCATGAGGGCATCCAATTCATAATCCTCCCACAGCATCTTGTGATTGACGAAGATATCAACGCAAGTGTCTAATATTACGGCGTATATTGTGTTAAAGTCGATTTATCTGTCGCGGACAAAGAAAATAATCGACTTCTTCGGAGCTAAAATACCAATGTTCAGGCAGTATCAAGGCTATCTCAGAGAGATAAACGTGGTTTCGACCTTAAAGAATACACCCGTCTGAACTAATTAAAAATGAAGTGATTTTCCTTCAATTATGCGCGGCTTCCCATGCTACCGGGATGTTTCCAGTGCTAGCCAATCAACTAAGGAAATTCCTAATGGAAATGTTGGTCACACTACAGCGCGAAAAGGGAACATGTCATTGGCCCTTGCGTCCGTTCAACAAGTTGTGAGCAACTAGTCTACTTGCGCAGGCCCCAGAATGGTCTCGTGGTCTAAATTTGCCTCGGCACGTTGTCACCGGCGGTGACTAGTAAGGATAGCTTTCAAGGATGTAGAGCTCGAACGGACTAGAGAGTAGCAGACTAGATGACAGTAATTGTAAAAGGGGCGGCCGCACATTTCGTAGTAAGCACCGACTAGAAAATTTAGTTACTCCCGTTCTTTTGTGGGAAGGTCTAATCAACACCTCTATTGCTAGTAAATAATTGCGAGACAACTTCCTCTCTGCGGCATCGGTATTGAATAATATAAGACTCCTCGTGGGTGGTAAGGAGAAGGTTGTGAGTTGAATTCATTTTCCAATTCCGCTGGGTCCTTACACCTCATATTTAGAAATGTGAGATAAAATGAAACATGGCTAAGACACCTCGATATAAGAGATAATGAACTGTCTATGGCCCATAATTCATCATGCAACGAGCTGCCCTCCTCCGCCATGAGCAGCCAGGCAGCTCCAAGGTTCTGATGTCTTCAACCGCAGCTGCACTCACTAATACTTCATTCAACCAGGTTCAACTCTCTGTGCAGAATGTGATCCAGTTCCTAATTAACAGCGAACACCTGCTGTTGAAGACTAAGTGATCAAAGTCAATGGACCCTACTTACAGTAGTGTTCGAAATCGGCTATACCTTGGAGCACCGCTCTGCAATGCCGGCATGAATATGCCAGTATTGGCTTTGTTGCATTCAATGGGTCATTATATTATCGCGGCAATTGCCTCATGCCTCTCAGCGGTAAAGAAATCTTCAAATCTATTTTAGGAAGCGGTCTGAAAAGCCAATTGCGATCATGGTATCCAATCAGGTCTCACAACTCTAGAAATTAGTTTCTGCCAACTAAGTTGTAAGAGAGTGGTATAACTGATTTCGAAAAATACTGTACTCCAACTACTAGCAATAATATTCTATTTTTGAGAGACTTTCTGGATCACATAATTGCTTCAACGACCTGTAGAAAATGGGAATCACCTGTAAACTTTTGCTAGTGTCGACATGGAGGTGATGATGATATACTACCACCTTACAAACAGTTGTCGGCATCTGTGCGCACCGTCTATATTTAACTCATAATTGCTCATCCATCTTATTGGGCCGCTGAGAAATGAGGTTGGCGCTACTCACACGCCAGCTATCGAGCCAGTGGGTGATCAGGGACAAGGTGCATCGGGCGTTATCGCATTCGGGTCATGTGATGATTGGTCCTAAGGGCCCACCAACGTCAGCGGGGACAAAGCGGGGACCAACCCAGAGATTATTGAACCGGAGGTACCAGCAGGATGGCCATTAGAAATATAAACGTCTGTAGAGTAGTGGATCTCCTAGTCCTGTTCTTTGTTCCGATGCAACTAACCTACGAAGACCATCATGCCCTTTGGCAGACCACAGCGCTTACAATGCTCTGCGGCGCAGGAACCCACCAGGGGTCAATGACAACCCCGGCTCTAACTTCCAAAGGACCAGATTTCCGGTCTAAGCTGTTTCTGGCGTACGCATCAATGGGCCTGCAGTGTGGGGCGTTGGCATCCGGGATTGGCTGAAGGGCACAGGGGTGCCTGGTGAACCCTACTAAACCCCATCTTCCCTGATTAAATTATTCAAACCATCCAAGTTGAAGTTCCTACTACTACAGGATTAGCCAGATATTGAGTTCGATCGCTGGTTGAACAATAAACTGTACTCTCGGTTCGGACTGTTTGTATCTCTGTTGCTGCATGTTGGGTCAAAGAATCAAGAGTCAACCGCTAGACAAACAGGAAGACCCGTTCAATGTGACTCCATTCGCAGACTTCGACTCGACATCCATGCCGCTGTAGATACTTCGGGCAAGGTCTAACCACCGAACTGCTAGGGGCCCTGCTGCTGGAGGCACCCTGATTAAGCCCAACCACACAACTAACACCAAGACACTGTTCGATGTGATTCCGTTCGTAGCCTTGAACTGAGGCTGGTTAATTAGCTGGTGCATATCTGACAAATTTGTTGGTCGCACGAACAGCGCCAACGGAGCAGCTCCTGTGTGTTCAAAAAAATGTGAGCTGCTTACCCCGTGAACTAGAACGAAGAACGAAGAACGGAGTGAAGACCTGGATCTGTTTGACATATTGCCACTAGATCCACCAACTGGTAGAGGTCCCTGCTGCTGTAGGTATCCTGGTAAGACACAACCATCGAACTGGTCAACACCTAACCACTGAATCAATAGGGGGCCCCTGCTGCTCAAGTCACCCTAGCAAACCCTCCACCAAACGGGCAGGGGGGCCCTGCTGCTCAAGGCACCCTGGTCAAACCCAACCGCCGGACGAATAGGGGGTCACTGCTCATTTAGCTTTCACTGGTGCTGGTTTGGGTCAACTGCAGTAGATTTCCACACGATCCAGGCCCAACCAGACTCAACTACTGGGACCTCGAATAACCCAGAAATAACCTGAACTGATTCTTAGGGATTTTTTGCATATATCCTTGTCTTGGCGCTCATAGGTCAAGTATTGACGACTCAAAGAGAGGTAATTAAAACACCGTAATGAGCTGTAGTCGACCCTGGCTATGCCGAAAAATTGAGGGATGGGTTGCTGAAAAATCCCAATGGTCGAGGGACTACGGTTGATCTAGACCGGGGATAGCGGTAATCCCACATGACTAGCTCTACCTTAGAATAGGGGTCCCAGTCAATGGCCAGCATCTTCTGTTACTCATGACTCAATACCTCTACTGTGCATGTCACCTCTGAGAAGTCTACGCCTACGTAATATTCGTGATTTTTTTACTTATCACTAGACTGGTCCGTGAGTTATCATGTTTTTGATGGCTTCGTACAAATGTTTACTAACTATTCCCATATGGTGCTAGCGAGCTGTGTATGTTTGGCTGGCCTGGAGGGTGTACCCATATGCACTCGGCACCGCCACACCCCCTTGCCTGGTCCCAGAACACAACCTATGAGATACGAAACACCGAGATCGTGTACGTTCGCGCTCTTCTGTAACCAGTAGAGTAGGATAAACACTAGTTAGGCTCGATAGCAAAAGCATGGATTTGTCATTCCACAAAGTTCTCGCGACCCACCGCAAGCAGCGCCTCCAAGTTCCCTTGCCCTGCGTTGTTTCTATGCAACCCCCCCCCCGGGCGTTCTATTCTACCCGCTGTGGGGCTTGAGGGCGGGTTGAAAATGCGTGGTTTACTTGTGCGGAGACTTCCTTTGACCATGTTGTGAGATTTTCCAGGTAATCATGGTTGCTCCCGATATCATGCTGGATTTGACTAATTACCATATGGCGTGATAAGCCAAGAGTTACTTCCTAACTAGGCGCAAAACTCACTTCAAATCTTCCTTGTGTCTTTCTCATTTGTTGTTAACGTCCCAATATGGAAGGGTCTGCCAGGGGAATTCTCACTGGATGTAGGTCTTCTGAAGTTCTCTTTTGAGTGACTCAGCATCTATAAATAGAATGGCTTTTGGGGGTGCACTAACCCAATCTGTGCTTGGCACCTGACGCGGACCCTGTTAGCTATACATTTTGAGAGCTAGGCCGGGAATTGGGGCCCAACCTCTCTAAGACTTGCTCCAAATGACTTTCATCCTTGCCATTAGTGGGATTTATCCGGTCTCCCCTCCGGTGACGTCTTACCTGATTCGCCCCGCTTGCCTGATGGCGCCGCTGTCAGTGTGTGCAATCATGAAAACCAGTTTAGAGTAATATTTCGAACCAATCTATGAGTTCCTGAATGTGCCTTGAAGCGGTTGTTGTCAGCTTGAAGCTCTTCAATCCAACACGAAAGTTAGGTCCGGCTATCTATGCCTCCATGTGCACCAAAACCGCCATGACACGCGATGCTTGCGTTAGACTTTGCAGAAAAAGAACCAAGGCCTAAGCACCACACGCACCTCGGAACAAACTCAACAGTGCAGCCAGGATCATTACTGATTCTAGAGGTTGTTGCTTCTAGTATTTCTGCATGTGTTGTAGGAGGGGAAGTGATGCTTTCCAAGAAACTCAGCCACCCTTCCGGCTCATCGAACTCCATGATGTCTTCACGGATTGTTCCTAATCACAGAAAGGTGTTATCCAGCTCAGCCCCGGTGTTTTGAACAAAATTACAAGTCTCACATCTAGGCAGTGAGGCTGGACAGCAATGTATGTCTTTAATAGACTAAAGCTCCATATGAGAAAACAGACGTAATTTACTCAACCTAGTCAAAGCCCTCTGTCGTCAATGGCCCACCACAAAGGTCCAACTTCTCAACCAATTTGGAAGCTGGTCGATATAGTTCACTGGTGGGAGTGTGAATGTACCTAGCGACGACCGGCGTTCGCTACATTTAGAGATAAAATGTATGGGATTATCCTTTTAATATCCATTCGTAGATGCGGGTAATAGCTTATTCGAGCCCGTTATTGCGTAAACTGCTTGCTGCATATTTGTATTGATTGAAGCCAGTCTGTCTGTGTTCCTCCTGCGAGGTTTGTGAGTCGATGACAAACTGTAGTATTCTGTGATTCCTGTTGCTACAATTACATAGCGATATTGATGGGTAGTGGGCATGGCCGTTTTATGAACGTTGATGCCCTACATATTTCACCCCTCCCCTCGGTTTTCTTACCATGGTCATGCGAGAATTTCAGCAGTGTTCGATGTTCTGTACCCCTTATTGTGGTGGGGGGGCTGGAGAATTTTAACGCCGAGTGTGGCCTATTAATTCGCCCATTTAGTCAACTCGTTGATAAACCTGCCATTAGTTAGCAGTATGGCCCAGATGACCTATAATATTGCTTCGACTTCAATGACTCTCCAACATTTCACATTTACTCCCACATACCTACGTGACGTTGATCATACTTTGCGCGGTTTCCTGGAGGTTGAATAGTATATAAACATGTGCCTAAAGTTCTCTTTTTTCCCCTTGTCATACTGACATATTTTGTGGCGCGTTCGAGCCACTAACCCGGTATCATCTTGGCATCCAACTCATTCACATACATTTCGATAACCAAAACTGAGACACGGAGGAAATTAGATTTGCAATTTTCATAAATGGCACAGACTGTAGTGACGTTCGCTATGGTTTCCGATACTTAAAATGTCCCGAGAAACGGTGGTTCGCTATTTGGCAACGGTGGGCTGTCCGCTGTACAGTACAGAGAGTCTCACTTATTTGCTTTCTTCAATTCTTTGTTGAACTTTGTTTTGCATGACGCCATGCCTCTTACGGTTAACCTACCCCGGACCCACACTCTTGGCAGTATCTTAATACGTAATGAATAATGGCATAAAAATAGTTTTCGTATTATCGTCGTGTTGGCGATGCCCTATCTCGAATCTCACTTCAACCAAACTAATTGGCGAGATGTGGTTGGTTGTCTGGCCACTATTCCTCTCTCATCTTTGTTAACCACTCTGCTAACGCACTGGACGAGCGAAGACATCCGTAGATACAATACTAGTGTGATATAATATTTCTTTACAACCGGCTTGTCTCCCCACAAATTGCTGGATTCTTTGTAGCCCATATGACAATGTTTGGTTTACTGGGAAATTGAGGACGATGATTAACCAATCTTATCTCAACGGTGTTGCTGTTTCTATAAAGTAGAACTCCATGGGTACAGCTCCGCTCGAAATCAGTTTCACCATTTTATTCTCTGTGATTCTTTCTTGAAGCTTGGCCAGATCCACTTAAGCCTAGATCTGTCCTGGCCGATTTATGACTGTCGAATAGGAAAAGGGCAAGTAATATGCTCTAGCCACATTAGGGCTAGCGTCAGTAATATTAGAGGTTTGTAAAGCAATCAAAGAGAACAAAATGGTGAAACTGATTTCGAGCGCGTCTGTACCATAGGTCCATTTCAACGTTCCAAAAATGTTTCATTTGCTGCTATCTGTTGTGAGTTACCATAGTGGAAGATGTCAATCAAGCCCCTTTCCAGTGGCTAACTCATCTTAGTTCCCAATTGCTCTTGTCTATTTTGAACTGGTTTCTTAAACACAGTGTGATAATAGGCTTTTTTTACGCACTAAATCTAGACAATATGACAGCAATCTTCCTACATGACAATATATGAGTAACGTCAGGGATATCGAATTAGCAAAGCCGCAATATTTCACATTCAGTGCGGACATGATGACTGACTTGTTGTAGGTGAGCCGCATGCCTATGGGCACCTGATATTTGGCTATAAAAACCCTGTATCAAGGTATTGCAATCTGGTTGTATATATTGAATTTGACAAAGAGAAACAATACCAAATCAAATTGGGAGCACAGACACGGCATAACCGTTCAATTGAGGAATGTCGAGAAATAGAGAATAAGCACTTTTTTGATGTCACCCATACCCATACCCATCATTGTTCAGCGCCTCGGCAGGCAACAAATGAATCATTTTACCTGACCTTGTTGCACTAGTATGGTGATATACTAAAATCGCCCCACTCGATGAACAGCTCATCGATTAACAACGAAGCCCTAAGAGTTTTATTATCCTGAATGTTGTGCACCAATAATTTTCACTCTGGCGGTGTTGACCGGAGATAAGAAATTGGCGTCATTGCTTTAGGGCACAAAAGCGCAATGTGGACAAGGTGCATAAGCATAAGCATAAGCGTCTTCTATGTAATAAATGTAGCCACTTCCCCGTCGTAAGTTCCAACTTAATTATCTCAGATCATCTCTACTGCCTCAGAATGGGACTTCTTTCCAAAATCGCAAGGAAATTGGGATTTGTGCGCGGGTATCTACTAGTGGTACGCCATACTCATGGACAAACACGGATTATCCACTCTATCTGGCCACCTCATGAAATTGTAAGAGAATTATAAGATTTCGGGGATTCCGAACTAACTATAAAATGCAGAGTGATAAGCCTGAACTGTCAAACGATGTTGATATCCAAGAGAAAAATTGAAAATAACCTAACAGTCCATGACTGACACGCTGCCGACCCTTATCCCCTGGTTATATACTATAGGCTTTATAGAGTTCGCGAATTATTATCATTCCTAAGCTGATAGAAGACGATTTCGAGTTAAATCACTAAGTGCATCGAACCCAAATAGAAAATACAGGTATATATCATGCAAAGGGATACCATTGGACAAACCCCGAAAACTTTGTTCTACAGAAAGGGCATGGATCTTGTCCAATTCGATCTGCGCATGGCTCACAAAGCATATGCCCACAAAGCCGAAGTTTCCAACCATCTGACTGCTCGAGGCAAATCTTGCACTCCAAAATACGTCGTTGGGAAAGCTCCTCTTCCTGTAGGAGAAGTTCCTGAACTTGCTTCTGCAGCTTCTCAACTTCCTGATCTCGATCTTCAAGCTTTTGACCCAGCATTTCAATTTCTTGATCTTTTTGGTCAACTGTGTTACGCAGCTTCCTCAAACAGGTATCCTCGAGAATTGTTAGCTCAAGAAAACGGGGTGTCTTAGGAGAGAAGGCTATACCAGAGTGTCGAGTGTTCTGCTGACCCTTCTGCGTTTGGAAGATGGTTTTGTGCTACCACTTGTAGCATCACTTGGTGGAATCGGAATCTGAAGAGATATACATGGAGACGTTATTTGGGCCTGTGAATCAGTTGGCCGCCAGCTCGGGGGTAGTTCGTCATCGTCAATAATAATTGTTCTTTCAGAGCTGGTCATTGTGGCTTGAAAGGAAGAGGCGTTTACCCAGGTGGGAGGAAAGTAGAAGTCCGACTGAGCTCGAGTTGGGTGGGCATAAGGCTCATTTTATACCCGGGATCCAACAGTTTTACTAAGAGACGATTGGACACTACTTTTTGTGATTCATCGCCCAGAGATATGTACGTAACCCGATTGGGTTGCACAAAACTGAAATAACATAAATAAAGCATTGGGTGGCGCAGAACACTTTATCATCCTAACCGCAATAAGGAGCTGTTCCCAATTCGGCAATTATCTCGATCCCTCCAATTGATGCTTTAGGTGTTTGCGATACCTAGGAATGCGAGACTTTCTCCAGTCATGGCCTTGAAATAGTCTGCTCTCTGTCATATTGCCATGATAACAGGATGTCGAGTCCCAACTGACTAAGGTCCTCCATCAAATAATGGAGATTTTCGCGAGACTTCCATGTTCAGACCTCACCCTCCCAATGCAATGCAATGAATGTAGCCAGATATGTCCCGTTGAGAGTCAGGTACAGAGGCTTTATCAGTTCGAAGACGGATATTCAATCCACTTCCCAAGCTATGAGGCCAATCCCGAGAAGAGCGGTCCTTCATCACAGACTCCTGCGCATAATTTGTATCCTTTTGCTGCTTCACACGGGCAGTCTGATTACCTCAACACTCATGTCCCATTACTGCTACTAGACCTCCGCACTCAGTCTTTCGCCAACCTAGGATAGATCCCGAGGTCAAAAGAAGCCCATAATGATGTTGTCCTCCGCGTCTGATCAAACCAATATTGACTAGTCTATATTGGGAGCTCTTCCGTAGCGCCCCTGTAAGCTGCTTTTGTATTGTTTTGTCTATAACTGAGATGGCACTGACCGCTGGTTGCAACAAAAGCATCATCCCAAGAATCTCTTACAATATAAAAATGTTTGGCAACCCGTAGAAACTGGTAGGACATATGTACCTTTAAACTTTCTTGGGCCCATTCGAAAATAGCGCACCTTTGCGTGAGGATATGTGGGAGGTTTAGAAAGCCTATTGAACTCCGGAGAAGGAGGAATGTCACTGAAGAAGCTAGACGGCTTATTGTATGAGCTTGTAACAGGAATACTATAAGATGTTGAGGAGGCACGAGACTTGAAATCCGCCCCTATACTGGCTTGCTTAATGGGGCCCACAAGATACATCGCTTCGATTAAATGAATGAAAATGAAGGTAGGTATGTGATTCGTCTCCTGCTTTCCTTGATTGACGTAATTCTCCGCCAATCAAACAGAGTACCCTCCACTGCTGTCTTATTGGCTACAACGGCACACCTCAGGGAAGCAGCATATTATAATTATTTTAGGCAAATAAGGTTGCGGGGGGAACTTTGAATACCAAAACCACCGTCAACGAAAGGGGACAGTGGTTACTCTTTTCATATCTTCAAACCGCTCCTTTGAAGCAAGGAAAGTTTACCGAAAACAGGCTGACATTGTAATACATAGACAGAAAGCCCTCTATATTTGCCATGTATCAAAGCAAACAAGACTTTCTCACTCAATGGCCATCAATTGGAATCTTACTAATATTTTAAAAAGGATAAATATGAGCATAGCTGCTTCACGAGGCAAGGCAGAAGATATCCATTTGAAGATGATGAAAAGTACTATTCCCGAGGCGACAAAAAAGGGTCATGTCATTTTTCCCAAGCTACGCAGGTGTTTGGTGAATAATTATACTAAATTTTACCACTCACCATTCCGGCATCAGAGCTCCGATCGAGAGTCAAATCTCAACAAGAAGCTCTTTGGTAGGCTGTTTCGCTGCTTGTATTGATATCCAGCTAATCACCTCACCTGGTGAAGAGGCTACGCTGCAGTTGATTGATACAACTCAGTGCTCTTTCAAATCCTCATTCATCCGCACAATAGACGGAACACAATCTCGCGATACGATCTTTAAACGGCAATTCGTCTCGAGTATCCTTTATCGTTCCCATACCAGCCAAAACACGTTGACGCTAGCTTTGTACTATCTCTTCAAAATTCAGCCTAACGTGCAAGGACGGATTTTCGGTTCCAAAAGAGTATTGCCATTGCAGCTGATGGAGGATAGCCTCCGAATATTCTTGGCTGCCCTCATGCTGGCAAATAAATACTTAGAGGACCATTGTATTTCTGTATTCAGCTGGAGCCAGTTATCTGGATTTCAAATTTCCGAAATCAACAAGGTTGAGATCATTTGCTTGCAGGCATTAGACTGGCGATTGCACATCAGTGGCGAGGATTTTGAACAGTGGGGAACTTCATTACTCGGGGTGGATAAGTGATACTTTTTGGTTTCTTACTTAGCGATTTTACTCTATTTTATTTTGTTCAGTATTGATTCTCTTGTGCCCGGCTTTTTTGGACTCCAGTTCGCCTTGTCCTGTTGTCTTATAACCCCCCCCCCCCCCCCCCCCCCCCCCACAGCCATAATTTTTGGACGAGTTGCCGCCAACGATTCGGAATATGTGGTATGCCGGGGGGCTGCTCCACGTAGATCATAGAGAAAATCCATTTGTCTAGAGATCCCTCTTCAATTTCAGTCAATTTGGAGCAATTAGCGCGTGAAGTCATGCGGTGGTTTATTCCATCAATTCGGCGACGGAGAGTTGTACGCGGGACATTGAAATACGTTATAGTTAGCGCTTGTCCCACGTACTCGTACTGATATCCTAGCTGCTGCAGTGATATTCGAAATTAGTTTATCTCTCATAATCATATCCGAGCTTGATGAACATGTCCCGTTGGTCTTATTTCCCAGGTCACACATATCCCCACATTCCTATTTGGTGTTCCATTCGATATATTTCATTTGATCAAGCTACGCTTAACCTGCTGAGGTACAGTTTTCGAAATCAGTTATACATCCACGCTCTTATAACTTGGTTGTCGGAGACTAACTCCGAGAATCGCGAGTCCTGATTGGATACCATAACCGGGATTGGCTTTCCGTACCGCTTGCCCAATCAGTATCCGTGGCTTACCTTACCTTACCACGGAGAGGCATGAGGCAATTGCTGTGATAATACGATGACTCACCGAATGGAACCAAGCCAATACCGTGATATTTCTACCGGCATTACTGAGCGGTGCCTCAAAAGGGATTAGCGTCTACCAGGGTTTTCCAGCAATCAACTTTGAAGGTATGGCCGATTTCGAACACTACTGTGTATCAAGATTTCACTGCACCATATTTCCGACCTAACGAACGCTCCAGATACCTGTCAGTGAGCTCCTGACACTGGGATCAATACGATAAACTCCAAATTGCTTCAGCCATTTATATTAAACACATCTTCCGATGAATGCTTAGCCTTTTCTATTTTGAACCGTCCCAGCCACTAAAGTACTTGCAGGACATGGGGCTTCTAATCCCTGCAGCAGGCGTGTTAATCCAGCAGACTGCAACTGGTCGGCAGAGGGCTCGGCGGGCAGAGTGCCGACATAAGCATTGAAGTTGTAGATTCCACAGGGACAGGTGTGGACAATATCCCTCAAACTAGTGCCGCATAGAGAAGTGACCGTCATTCCTTCACGGGTAACCTTGAAACTCTGCGCACCCACACCCATCGGCACAGAGTGCGACCACACTCCGGCCCTTGCCTCATAAACTTCAGTATTATGGCCAGACTGCACATGCACCATCGCGGGCGTCTCCAGCATAGTTACTATAAACACCGCGTCGGTCATGTCATCAGCGCCATCGGGTCGAGCACGGACGAAGTCGCCACTCCTACTATTTTCGTTTCCTTCCATTGATGTGTCTGTTGCATTACAGTTGACATCCTTTGGGGTGGGTCGGTACCAGTAGATTAGCTTTTCTTCGTCGAGGAAATCCAGTGGCAGCTTTGAGCCAGCTTTATAAGCAGAAATGAAAGGTTTGGCCATATCGAGCCAACCATTATGTGGCCTGCTTATGGGTTATTCATCATCACCGCCTTGGATTCTTGGGTCTCTGCTTACATGTCTATAACCCATTTGGAGGAACCGTCATCGGTGTGAGGCGATGAAAGTGGACCAATGTAGTGCGATTCACCGTAATCATTCCAAGAGATGAGCTCCACGAAGCGGGGGCTGGTTTCTAGGATCTCCCTCCATCGTTTATACCAGAGGAGGTCCGAAGGGAACACCCAGTTTTTGGAGAGAGAGACTTCGCCACCGAAATGTGTCGAAAACCAAGGTGAGACCGCTAATTTTACATCAGTATCAGAAGAAAAGCTTGTTCGAACCACTCACATGCAACATAGGGCTTTCCCTTCAGTACCGCCTTGTAAGAATTATCACCATCCGCAACAGTGTGCTGGTTGTGAGATGTTCCGTCATTGTTTCCGTTATTGTCCCAAGCGATCCAGTTCAGAGCGGCCTGAACATTATCAAAATCTCCCCGACCAGGGTGGAAATTCGGTGCAAAATAGATATCGCTGCGTGCAGCCGACCTGATTGCATTGACATCAACACCGTCGCCGGCAAAAGAAGATGTAAATACCTTCCCATCAACCTTGAGCTGGCCGGGAAGATTGCCATACTGTGCGATCTTTGCACCGACTGTACTGCCCTGACTAATCTGCCACCAATTGAAGTCGAAGGAGATGAACACTTTCATGCCATTGTTGGAGGCAGATTCATAGGCAAAGTCCAGCTGTGTGTCTGTGTAAGAATCGGTCCCGATGTTCAAGGCAAAAGCGTCGATGCCTGCATATTTGGCTCGCTTCATATCATCGTCGTAGTCACTGGCACCTAGGCGGTTGCTAACGATGCCAACCTAAGTACTGTTATCAATGAATTTGGAGTCAATGGATTATACCGTCATACCATGAAATGACAGAAAACAAGTCTGTTTCCGTGGTTTTCTTCAGAAGTGTAGTTAATTGGGAGCGAGGACGCCATAGCAAGGGGTATGCACCCCGTCAGGGCCACAATGAGCTTGGAGAACATGAAATCAATAATGCTCTCCAGGTTGAATAAGCAGTGCCGAGAAAGGGCCCAGCCAATATAATAGAAACAAGCCTGCTACAACGAAGCTCGACCTTACCTCACCTAAGAAGCAACTGAATACTATCTTGAAAAGAGAACAAAACTGCTATTCAACGAAAACGGTTGCGAGAATAAACCAACAGTGGGGGTTTTGTGTCTCCTGCTCTGCGTGTCAGCTACGGAATAATTCATGGCAAAAAATGAGAAGTTCGCCTTCGCCTATTCACTGAGGCAGCACTGAGTTGAACTGCTGAACATTCTCCTAAGTAGGGTATTATCTCTAAGCTCAGGTTTACGAGAGAGTAGAATTCGAAAACACTCTCGCTTTCTCGGTCCGTATCCGAAATCATCTTGACGTAGTTCAGGACCAGTGGTGATCTAATATATATTCTTAGCCAAGCATTCTTTACCGTCCGGGGTTGATGTGGTTTCGGTTATGGGCCGAAAAACAAACCGTGTGTGCCTAAGGATAAATTGTTTTCGAATTATACTGTAACAATCTAGAAGCCGATCAGTAATTAGAGAGAATACAGGCATTATCGAAATCAGCTTGACCAATACTGTTGTGAGGAATTTTGAAGTTGAAGTCAGTATTACGTTTATCTCCGAGACTCAGTGCCGGATGAAAGGCTGGCGACTGCCCGAGTGGCGATGGACACCAGCTACTCCATTCAACATGACCTCGTTTAATTTCTTGAATTACAGCTAAATGCATCGACCGAGAGCTTGAATCGTTCGAAAATGGACCCAAATTATGTGCACCGCGTGTTCATGCGCACAGAGTACCCACAAACACCAAGCTCGACTATTCATTGGCAGGCATCCTGCAAGGTTCTATTATTTTCCCTCTTTTAGAAGAGTATAATTTTAATCCCCACCATGAAACGGCTGCCCCGGCCCAGTAGTACATACCTCTTCGGTTACAATCCACTTGATCGGAGGTATCTGGCACTGAAAAGACGAAGACGCTGTCATTAGCTGACCTCTTTCAACTTGCCCCATACATGCCATGGTCACCGGCGCGCTTCTAGAAGCTCTACACGTACAACATGCATCGTCTAACATGCTATCAGCTAACCTTGCTTTCATTCTCGTTGGGTTTTACTGGTACAGGATGGATCGAGATCAGTTTTACCAGTTGTACATGGATATTACACCCTCTTTTGAAACATGCTATACCTATTACAGTTAATCTTCCTCCGAACCCCTGTCTTGGCAGTAATCCGATACACATCTAAATAACAGCATAGAAATAGCCTCTGTATTATACCTGTACGGTCTCTCGGGGCTCTAAACCGTTAATTCTGCAAACATATGGTGTCTAGTCTTTTCGTCCAGAGACGTGGCAGGAATATGACTCCCCCTCGTTAACCTCCTGCCATCCAGAGTCGAATGAGCCAGTTGTATAGAGATTGTACGTACTAGTGGGTAATGTTGATTTGCTACTTATAAAAAGCTTGTCCTTCTAATGGAGAACTGATATCTGCTTGACTGGCTGATTTTCATCATTCTAACGTTGGATTCTTTAGAGGGTTCAGTGGGGCGAAGTATTTCGTTGAGGCATGAAATTGAGGCTAAGTATTATTGCCTTGAAATAAGCGAGGGTCGGACGGGTATGGGCTTTAGGCTACCGCAACTTTCAGAGAATTCCGAAGTATAGATTCTGTTGTTGACTAGCTCTATAACCATAGGTATGGGTGCATTCCGTGGGGCCTGACAAGAATGCGGGGCTCTTGCTTGTTACTTTGTAAGATTAAGTCAATTCAGAAACAGCCCTGCGAGTTATAAATACTAAGATCTGTATCAACACCAGCACCAGTGCCAGTCATTCACAATGAAGCTCTTTGAAACCCCACTTGATATTTGGTTAAGTATCAAAGATTTTCTGACGCCAGCAGATGTCGAAAACATCATAAACACCAGTTCTATCCTCTGGAAACAGATCTTCAAAGATACTAGTTGGCTGGAGTTTGCCCTGACATTTGATGGATGTTCTCCAGTTCTTATTGGCCATAACTTGAGCGCCTATCGCCCGAGAGAATCGTCAACTCGTCTCTACCTTGCTCTTATCGCAGGTGATTATTCAGGCGATCTCATTTACAAAAGTGAAAAGTTCTTTGCCGCTCTTCAACATGGCTGGAAATATAACAAGAATAGATATGAGGTGCGATTCCCGTCTGGCATTACCTTGAATATTTACGATGTTATTGAATGTCATGAATCGGTAAAGCTACCTTTGGAAAAGGTTTTTACAATCACAAAGCAAGGACTCTACTCGGAATACTGTTACTACATATATCCGGCGATAAAGGAACTCCGGTCATCCGATATCGCGGAATTGGATCCTGACTACAGGCCGCATCCACATGCGCGTGGTAGGTGGAATGGTCCCGCCTGCAAGGGTAGGGACATAAAAAACGGTTGCAGGGTTACACTTTTGAACAAGGATATGAAGACAAAGCACGTCATTCTTTCAAGTCATATGAAAAGCAAGCTATGGGCAAAAATGGCACGAAGTGTGCGTTGATTTTCGATCACAGTTTGCAAGGGTTGTTCAACACACGGGAGGATTATACTGTACCGAACGCGGGAATTAAACTTATATTTCTGTGACATTACTCCACCTTTAGATATAAATCAACGCACGGGATTTTGGAGCAATTTACAGTAGAATTTTAACCCCACTCTTGCGACTTGATTCGAGAACCCTATTTGGTTATCTATCCGTCCATACTGTAAAAGTATGGGTCATCTACTGGGGTTGATTGCGATTGCCCTACTCCTGTCTGTTAAATATGCTCTGCAGCCTTTATCACTGGGCCGAATTAGAGTTTTATGTCGAATACCAAGTCCGACTACATGGTAGAAACCAGGTAATATACCGGAAACATGTGACATTAGGTACCAGGCATACCATACAAAAGTGCATATTACAGCTAGTCATCATGGTCCGCACAGATTGTTGAAAAAGCGGGTTTTGTCATTTTAGTTAGAGTTGTCAACATTGGTCATCTACAGTCGTTCTCGAAATCGGCTTGACCGATAAACACTTAATAACTCTTTTATGGCCCCACTGCCAAGGCCTTAGCGTAGAATAATTATTCGACAGGCCGCATCATTTTGAGGGGCACAGTATTACTGTACCGCCTTGTTTCTGTAATCATGTATTCCAATAATACGATTTCTGCCAAAGCCCTGCTGTCCGCCTTTACCAGTGCCACGTTGTCCCTTTCATCTCACCATCCTCGCAACGAGACAAAGCATAGGCACAATAGCTCCGACCTTGATAGTATCCTCTCAAAATTTTATCTGAGACTTTATCCCAGGTACTGTCTTGAGCAAATCACTCACCACGTCCCAGATTGCTACAGTGACGACCGCTTGCGCCTTCCATGTCGGACACCGCAGAGGAGCTTTTTCAAACCCTAGTCACATGAGTTGCTAAGCCGTATTTGGTTAATCTCGTATTGAACGATCCGTCACAAGACCGAATGGTATAATACAAAACGAAGAGAAGGCTAAGTATTGTAAGTGCCAATTTACTATTACAGCTCTGAGATGACAATACCAAACTCACCATCACGTCGTTGCAACTCTCACACAAAAATCCCGACCTACCGAAAGCTTGATCCCTGGAAATTAATATAAATGCGATACAACGCTAGCTACTGACTCACTAGATATCAAAAAGCGACGGTGGCAAGGGTAGTGAGCATTGTAGCATGAACACATGCAATTGTTCGGCAAGTCAGATCTACCCTACTAGTTCACAAGGTATCATTTACAAAAGATATTATAGAGGATTATTGAGCACTATTTTGCATCTGCAATGCTTAATATGTTCAGCATCTCCGCAAGCCACCGAGTAATATCATGCATGATCTGGACCCAGGGCCTCCTCGTATCCTGCCAGTGCTCGCTGGTACATCTCTTCTGCCTCCTTCAGCTTGCCCTGACCAGAGTAGAGATTGCCAAGGTTGTTGACTGTTATAAGAGTAGATGTATGATCAGGACCTAGGGCCTTCTCATATCCTGCTAGTGCTCGCTGGTACATCTCTTCTGCCTCCTTCAGCTTGCCTGAGCCTTATAGAGAAGGCTAAGGTTGTTGACTGTATCGAGAGTAGATGTATGATCAGGATCTAGGGCCTTCTCATATCCTGCCAGTGCTCGCTGGTACATCTCTTCTGCCTCCTTTAGCTTGCCCTGAGCCTTATAGAGAAGGCCAAGGTTGTTGACTGTACCGAGAGTGGACGTATGATCTGGACCTAGGGCCTTCTCACGGCCTGCTAGTGCTCGCTGGTACATCTCCTCTGCGTCCTTCAGCTTGCCCTGATCAGAGTAGAGATTGCCAAGGTTGTTGACTGTTATAAGAGTAGATGTATGATCAGGATCTAGGGCCTTCTCATATCCTGCCAGTGCTCGCTGGTACATCTCTTCTGCCTCCTTCAGCTTGCCCTGAGCCTTGTAGAGAAGGCCAAGGTTGTTGACTGTATCGAGAGTAGATGTATGATCAGGATCTAGGGCCTTCTCATATCCTGCCAGTGCTCGCTGGTACATCTCTTCTGCGTCCTTCAGCTTGCCCTGATCAGAGTAGAGATTGCCAAGGTTGTTGACTATTATAAGAGTAGATGTATGATCAGGATCTAGGGCCTTCTCATATCCTGCTAGTGCTCGCTGGTACATCTCTTCTGCCTCCTTCAGCTTGCCCTGAGCCTTATAGAGAAGGCCAAGGTTGTTGACTGTACCGAGAGTGGACGTATGATCTGGACCTAGGGCCTTCTCACGGCCTGCTAGTGCTCGCTGGTACATCTCCTCTGCGTCCTTCAGCTTGCCCTGATTAGAGTAGAGATTGCCAAGGTTGTTGACTGTTATAAGAGTAGATGTATGATCAGGATCTAGGGCCTTCTCATATCCTGCCAGTGCTCGCTGGTACATCTCTTCTGCCTCCTTCAGCTTGCCCTGAGCCTTGTAGAGATTGCCAAGGTTGTTAACTGTACCGAGAGTGGACGTATGATCTGGACCTAGGGCCTTCTCACGGCCTGCTAGTGCTCGCTGGTACATCTCCTCTGCGTCCTTTAGCTTACCCTGAGCCTTGTAGAGAAGGCCAAGGTTGTTGACTGTATCGAGAGTAGATGTATGATCAGGATCTAGGGCCTTCTTATATCCTGCCAGTGCTCGCTGGTACATCTCTTCTGCCTCCTTTAGCTTGCCCTGAGCCTTGTAGAGATTGCCAAGGTTGTTAACTGTACCGAGAGTGGACGTATGATCTGGACCTAGGGCCTTCTCACGGCCTGCTAGTACTCGCTGGTATATCTCCTCTGCGTCCTTCAGCTTACCCTGAGCCTTGTAGAGAAGGCCAAGGTTGTTGACTGTATCGAGAGTAGATGTATGATCAGGATCTAGGGCCTTCTCATATCCTGCCAGTGCTCGCTGGTACATCTCTTCTGCCTCCTTCAGCTTGCCCTGAGCCTTGTAGAGATTGCCAAGGTTGTTAACTGTACCGAGAGTGGACGTATGATCTGGACCTAGGGCCTTCTCACGGCCTGCTAGTGCTCGCTGGTACATCTCCTCTGCGTCCTTCAGCTTGCCCTGGTCTATATAGAGACGCCCTAAACCATGGAATGCTCCCCATAACGCAATATTGTCACCTGACCAATCTCGATGACGTACATAATTGGCGTGTGGAATAAGCCGTTGCTGAAGCCTGGAATAATTTCTGTCACTCGAATTAGGGACAGTGTACCCAACGGATATCAGTGCTAGTTCATTAAGCTGCATCGAATTCACATTTTCGTTTGTGCTAGCAATATGAAGGCACCAGTCTTGTACCACTGGATGCATCGCATAGTTTCCTCCTTGTTGCTTACTCTCAAGAAGAGAGAATCCGATGAGAGTCTTCACACCAATTTTGAAAGCGAGTCCGCTTGATATAGCATTTTTGAGCCAGTCCGGGACGTTCGAGCTGTGACGGCCACTCTTCATTAAGTCGTACCAAATATCACGATTATCAAAATGAGCAAGTAGCAATAGAAGGTCTGCTGCGCTCGGGTCACGCTTCTGGATCTCAAGATATGAGATCATCCATGTTTGCAGCATATTGCCTTGCTGGTACTGACGACCAGGATTCGATTGCAGCTGTAGCTCAGACCAAGATTCTTGGTAGTACTGCAAGTACTCAGTGATACTGGTTCCAGTCTCACGCATAAACGCCCCGGCGATAACAATAGCTAAAGGTAGTCCATCCAAACGATTGGCAAGAGTAAGGATATCTACATATGTTAGCATGATCTGTAACATATATTCATCAAGTGCCATATTACCTGGATTGCTTTCAAGTTTGCTAGTGGTGCTCCTTGCTAATAGACCACTGCTTTGCAGGAGTAGTTGAACTGAGTTATGAGAGTCAAGCCCTTGCACCAGGAAAGGCTCCCCTAGCTCAGTCAGCCCTTGAAGTCGAGAAGTGATAAGGATGGAGCCATGGTCTGCTTTAGGGAAAAATTCTCCAATGTCATATCTATCACCAACAGCGCTGTTGAAGGGGGAGTATTGATCGATGTTGTCAAAAATGATTAGCCAGCGCGAGTTGCCATCCAATGCTAGCCATCGTAACATATGTCTGGCTTGTTGCTCCACATCTGTATCATGACTCGTCTCGCTATCCGAAACCTGTCCTGGTAATCGGTTCAAGGCAAAGCTCAACGATTGCAAGAGCGCATCGCGATCCTTGCCACTGAGCCAGAAGATCGCCGTAAAATCATCTCTATGATCTCGCGCGAAGCGAATCGCTAGCTGCGTCTTTCCCATTCCGCCAAGCCCATGAAGAATTGCAACTTTCTGTGACGGTGGATCTGTCGGCTGTAAATACTGCCACAGATTGTCTAGCACGTCTTGCCGTCCCACGAAATTTGCAATCACAGGCACTGCGGTAAGGTCTAGAGGGACATAGAAGCGATCAACTTTATTAAAGTAGACAAGTCAATGATCAAGAACAGGAAGTGGGAGTTTTATGGTCAGCTCATGGCCTTCGTACCTGGCTGTTGTCGAATAGTGCGGATTTTATATTCCTGAGAAATTTAGTAAGACGAAGCCCTGCCAACAATGATATGCCTACTTCTATGATAGTGGCGAAACAGTCCTCGGTTTTGTCTGCGAGCATCAGCTAAATGTTTATTCGCTATGAAAAGTCCTCGAGACACACACTTTCTTTGAGTCTCATGTTCTGAATGCAGTCCCGCACACGAAACTTTTGTGCTATATGCGTGAGATATCCCTCCGTCGCCGCCTCCATCGGTCCCTTCTTCTTGTACTCCTCAAGCCCAATCTCCTGCAGCCCCTGATCGACATTAAACCGGAAGTACCGCTTCTCATCATAATGCTTGGCCCACCTCGCTATGAATCTTTTCTCCGTGTTCTCTGTCTCGGTTGCGATCTGTACGACTGTCTGCCCGAGAAACGTGACCATATTATCCTTGAACGGCTTCTTGCCTGGATTTCCTGTTCCGATCGAGATGAAGCATTTGACTAGTGGTTTCAAGTCTCCCGTCTCAGAGCACCATATGTTCGACGCCTCGCCCTCCACTTCGTCCACAGGGTTATTCGCGCCCAGTCCACCATCAGCAAATGATCGATCCCCGATGCTAACTGGTTCAAAAAAGGTTGAGGCGGCAGATGTTGCAAGGGCGGCTTGGCATATGGTTGTGCTGATGTTTGGCTCATGCGGGAGGCTGTAGCTTCGCAGGCGAACTATGTCCTTTGTATAGCGGTCGGCGGAGCAAACGAAACTGGCTAGGTTAGAGACATCTCCCTGGTTGGACATCTACTTACGTTCTGCATCCGCGCGCAGTACCATCTCTCAGTCCAGTGCCGTCGTTGAAAGGATCCTGATTGGAAGCACCACTGTCCTCAATAACCTTTTGGATCGCGCGCTCCAACTTCTCCGAGTCGAACTTGGCTTTGATATCCCATTTGAAGTTCATGGGAATTGAGCGCAGCTTCTCACCAAACACTGCTGCTGCGAGATCGCTATAAGCGGCAATACAGCTATCGACATCCATCCCGAGCCGGCCGAGCATGATCGCAATAAGCCTAGCTGATAGTTAGCCAGTCAAATAAAAGATAGCGTGCGCTTGGAAGTTCACTCACCCACCGGTGCTTGTGCCCCCAATAAGGTCGAACACTTCGCACGGCTTCACAGGAGGGAGCTCGACCCGGGCCCGAGCATGGTTGAGTTGGTCCATAATACTCTTTAGGATGTAGAGTGATGAGAGGCCTCGCACACCTCCGCCATCAAGGGACAGTAGGCATAGGCCAGTGGTGTCAACTGGGTTTGGGCCCCTACCCTGAATAGTCGCTTCTTTCTGCATTTTTGAGTTCTTTCTTCAGACTGGAATTTTAGCTTTGGAAACTGAAGGACCACGTATGGAAGAAAATTGTTTTTAGTTTGCTGGGCTGGAGATGGGCAGCATAAAAGCCGCCGGGCGGGGTAGGTACGGCGTCTTGTTGGGTCGATAGCTATGCGCCCGTGACCAACGCACCTCATGTCAAACATATCACATCGCTTAATTCTTCCATTCTGCTCCACTTTGCCGTCGATGCCAAGTCGTTTCATGCACCTTCGTCACAGATCCGGCGTCATGCTTTTTTAATGGATGTACAAGCACAGCCATCCTCTCCTGGCAACCATCCAGCCCCTCCTTTTCATGCCATCTGGTGTGCAATCTTTTTCCCCTTTTTGAATTGTGAGCTGTCATTCCCTCTGGCTAGGTCTCAGCCGCACACCGAGTTTCAGCTGGTGAGGCGTCTCACTTTGCCCAGTAAAAGTCAATCAGATGGCGCCGGACCGACCCACCTGGGCTGCGCCTAAACCTACACGTGTTCATGCTCACCAGAGGCCTCATTGATGACTGTTTGGTAATATGGGGTCGAGTCTCGTGGCCTTACATCGAGATAATCTCTCTGATTCACTCATGACTTCTCAAGATTGCTGGCAGCAGCGCCGTTCAGTTGTGACCTGTGAGAGAAAGAAGAATGCACAGAGCGAATGAATCGAGTTCGTTTGAGGGGTGGGGCTGAAAGGATAGGCTTCTAGACAGATCTTCTGCAAACAGGGTTAGAGCTGATTTGCGGAGACCCACGTTACTCCATGGTATTCTTTAGTAGACAGATCGGACAGGGAAGTATTAGCAAATGATTTGTGGCCTCTAAGTGGAGCCCAAAAATGCTTGATATCGAGTTTGGGGCTTATGAAAAGCCGTACTGTGCAGCCTTCCCCATGAAACTGGTCCCAAACAGACCACCGGAAAGCACCAGACTCTCTACGCTCCTAGGGGCGCGACATACCGTGAGGAACTGTTGACAGATTGCCTATTCAAAAACCGCCGTGTTTGCAGGGTTTGCATAGAACATTCCAGCCTGGAATTTCCAGGCTAAAAGGTCTAGAGCACACTGCATATTTCGTACTAGTAATTTAAGATTCTAGTATTATTTACCTGGTCAGATATAAAACGGGTTAATTACAGCGATTCAGATCTGAATTAGCGTATCACATGACTAGGGTTTGAAACAGTCTCTCTGTGTTTACAATGTAGAAGGCGATTGCGGTCGCTACTATAATATTGCTGGATGTAGCCCGCGTTATCCTGCCACAATCCGGAGTAACAGCCATCAATTCGGTGACACTCGAACGCCTCCCATCCTCTAACATTGAGCCAAGACCAAACATCTACTATATATCATATACAAGCCTCAATATGGACCATACAGATAAGAGGAAGGCTTCTTTCTATGACCTACCGCAGGAGATCTTGGAATCGATCGCAATGAATCTTTACCTTCCTGATTACTTACATTTCCGTGCGCTTTGCCATTGGACATGGTCTTTGTTCGGCTGTTCGGCCCTTGCACCCATTTTGAAAAAGATCCAGACCTTTAAAAACGATACTTCGGAAGTGCGATACGAGGATTGTCAATTCAAATGTCATTACATATCGCGAGGCCATATCTTATCTCACGCCTATCGAAAGAATGGTTCGATTCCAAAGGTGGATAATCTAGTCCAGCTTGGAGCATCTTTGAAGCACATTCCTTGTGGCGACATGGTTGAGCGCGCAGCTCGTTCACACAATTACAAAAAGCTTTTAAGTTGGTTGATCGATCATGGTGCTTCTTTTCGAGAGGTTCAAGGTGGTATCGATAGGCTCTGTTGCGAAGCATACGAGCAAGACGATTTTGAAAGATTTCGCTGGCTGTTCTCGAAAGGAGCGTCTTTAGATGTTTTGGCTGGAGTGGTGTTCGATTTTTCTGGTTATCATAGGCCAAGGTCGCGTGAAGCTTGCCGTCATCATCTACTACCGCTGAAAAGGGCCCTCAGAGAGGGAGCAAAACCTAGTGGCTCCCATAAGGCCTTAACAGCAGAGCTAAGGTTGCGTCGACGTAAAGGACTCAGTGACGGTTGGAGGAAGCCGATCAGCTAGATATACAGCTTGTGGATATTCATAAGGCGAAGCTTGGCACAGAGCATCTAAGCACGTGATACTCCCAAGCGATCGAGTTGCTGAAGAGCTGTGTTGTCAAGCATCCCGCTCATCCCGAGCCCGTATTCAATTCTACCACCTTGCTGATATAGGGAAACAAGGACCTGGCCACCGCTTCATGATCAATCCATGAATTCATTTCATCATATAATAGTAGTTATCAGGGGCTGTTTTATTTGTGAATGATCTATCTTCTGTTGAATTAGCCTTCATTCATTGACAACAACTCTGAGTTCTCCATTATTATATCTAATAGCGTGTTACAAAATACAGTCATTCTCAAATCGCCTTGACAGACCATACTTAGTTGAGGGCCGCCGTAAATTGGGACTTGTATAGGACAGTGATTCATACCCGAGGAATCAAAGCGCAGGCTGCAATCTTATACCAGGGGATACAATACCATTCAAGATATATGTTACAACCGTCCTCAACTAAGTGCGGCCTGCTCAATAGATGATCTGCGCTAAGGCCTTGGCGGTGTGGCTGAGAAAGAGAGTCTCAGTGTGTACTGGTCAAGGCGATTTCGAGAATGGCTGTATACCATACATTGTTCGCACACCATCTTTCTGTCATTTTGTACAAAGGTTATTGGGCTTCAAGGGTTACCTTTCCTTCCTGTGTTGCACGTACATCCTGTGCAAGGAAGTAAGTTATATTCGAGGGGATGGGGCATGCGAACATTTCCTACCATTCCCATTGATCAAGGAGAAGACCAAGGAGGCAAGGCAGAACGAAGCCGATAGCCACATCATAATTACCATTTGTCGGCCAATTGAGAATTGGAAACCACTTGCAGTTGAAATGACATTCAAAGCTTCAGCAAGGGACACATAGACCCCTGTAGCCAACCCAGAGGCAATCATGCTTGCTACTGTAGAGATCTGCATAAATGTCAGACCTGCATTGGAAGCGACTGGAGGATTATGACTTACTCCTGCAATTATATTTATTACTACACTCCCCCCTGCGGAGGACTGAACTGTCAAGCCAAAGATTATTCCGACAGAAGACATCACACTACTTGAGATGAAAGCGATTATATAGGCTGATTTCATCCCTTTCGACGCTATACGATAGACGTGTTCCGCTGTTTGAACCTCGGGCGGATTTAACCTGTCTGCCCATGGGCCTTGAAGTCCGAACACGTCCGTGAAATTGAACCAAAACCCGAATTCTGGATTAGTACAGCTGGTGATCTGCCTTCTCAATGTATCGGACCTCCCTTCGCAATATCCCCAAAGACCGATCACATAAAAATCCGCTAGGTTTGACTTCAACCTTAAGAGGTCTTCGGTAACACTACTTTCGTTGTGTCCATCATAACTTGTCGTACCAGAATAAGAAATGCCTGCAATCTGATCATTTATTCTTTTTTGTGAGATTACAAGTTCTTTGCTCATTATGTCAAGGATACCTCATTTACCAGTAATTCTCCACTCATAGCTTTTCCTACAACTTTCTCTGCTTCAGCTGAGGACCCGGTCAGATTTGCCTAGTCATTGTAAGCATTGACCTCTAAGCTTGAGTGTAGATGTTGACCTTTACAAAGAATAAGCTGCTCTGAGAACTTGGTTGCCCCGTACAGCCGATCCCAATAAATACTAACAGGATGGATGATGTTATGACAAAAATATAAGGCAGGAAAGAAATAAAATATATGTTGAAATTTGCCATTATGATTTTGTGTGAACTATCTCTGTGAGGGATTCCAGGTTTCAGAATTGAAGAGCTGCGAGAGTAACCTCTTATAAGAATGTACGGTGGCTTTCAATCTCAGTGTAAATACCTGTAGAAATGAAGACATTTTTTATTTCCTATCAATTCTTTTCTGTTCTCTTTTCTGTTTCCTTTTACAGACGTGCTCGAAATCAGTTTCACCATTTTACTCTCTTCGTTTCTTTGCCAAACTTTATCCTGAAACACGCTAGTCTGTGTTCGGCTTAGGACATTTCAGAGTATCGAAACGTATTGTAACTTCAAATCACATGATGAAGTACTGTTTAATATATTGGAAATAATCATACGATTGATACCCTATATCTCGATACCCCTCAGCGGGGTACTTCAACGACTTAGCCATGTGCTCCCGACTAACCCTTCTAAGAATTACCTGGCTGCAATAATGGCATACACGACATCATATGACGGGTCAAACTCTGGGTTCCAAGTTGGACAGAACCTTGGTCATATCACTAATCAGTTCTGTGAGTGGGGCGCATGACTCTAAAAGAACGTACCTAACCGGTGTGACTGCTCAAGTACAATCGGAAGCATTGAATCAAGCGTGCCTGCGGGATCTGCGGACGACTGATCCTCACCATGACAAAGACCGTATTCAGAACACCAACGGAGGGCTGCTCAAAGATTCATACTGCTGGGTTCTCGACAACGAGGGGTTTCAACAATGGCGAGACAACCAGAGCAACTGTCTCCTCTGGATCAGAGGTGATCCGGGCAAAGGCAAGACAATGCTGCTGTGCGGTATCATCGATGAATTAACACGAACATTTGGGGACACTGCGAATGTCTCGTTCTTTTTTTGCCAAGCTACAGACGTACGAATCAATAATGCCACGGCTGTTCTCCGTGGCTTGATATATTCGCTTGTCGAGAAGCAGCTATCTCTTCTCTCCCATGTACAAAGACAGTATGATAAAGCGGGAAAAGCATTGTTCGAGGACATAAACGCATGGAATGCCCTCTCGAGGATCTTCACGGATATCCTGAAAGACTCGGCCCTACAAAGCACCTATTTGATTATCGATGCGCTAGATGAGTGCACATCAGGGCTACCTTCACTTCTCGACTTGATTACTCGGATACCGTCTGCTTACCCACAGATAAAGTGGATTGTCTCAAGCCGCAACTGGCCTGATATCGAAGAGCGTCTTGACACTACCCAGACCGCTCCAATATCATTAGAGCTAAATGAGGCGTCTATATCTGAAGCTGTGTGCAAATTCATTGAACACAAGGTTCACTATCTAGCGAAAGTTAAGAAGTATAGCGATGAAACTCGTGATACGATCTGCCGTCACTTGTTATCCAACTCGCAAGGCACATTCCTTTGGGTAGCCTTGGTCTGTCAAGATCTTGATAGAACATCGCGGAGGCACGCTCTTAAGAAGCTGGAGGCGTTTCCTCCTGGACTGGATGCCTTGTACAATCGGATGATCGATCAGGTTCGTAACTCGGAAGATGCCGAGCCCTGCAAGCGAATACTGGCTGCCATGTCCATAGTGTATCGGCCTATCGCGTTTGACGAACTGGCCTCTCTTGTTGAACTACCTGATGATCTCTCTGGTGACTCTGAAGCCCTACCAGAGATTATCGCGATTTGTGGCTCGTTTCTAACTGTGCGCGAAGACACTATCATTTTCGTCCATCAGTCTGCAAAGGAATTTCTGCTTAGAGAAACGCAAAATGAGGTTTTTACTGGAGGTATAGAAACTGAGCACCACAAAATTTTCTCTCGCTCTCTACTAGCCATGTTCAAGACACTTCGACGCGATATCTTTCAACTTAAGTTTCCTGGATTCCCGATTGAGAAAGTTATACCACCCAGTCCGAACCCATTAACAGCTGCAAAATATGCGTGTGTCTATTGGGTTGACCATCTTCATCATAGCGGATGCCATGAAAAAGATGATCTTACCGTTGGTGATAGAAAACGTATAGGTGATTTTCTAGAAAAGAAATACCTTCACTGGCTTGAAGCCCTGAGCATTCTAGGAAGCGTATCGCAAGGCATAGCAGCTATGCTAAAGCTCGATGACTTACTTCAGGTGATTAATTGCTCATATACCGAAACAATCTCTACTTCTGACGTTACAACTACTATACTAGGGAAAAAGCGAACCACCTGCCCTTTTATATCGGGTTCAAGACGCCTCTCGGTTCATTCGATACCACAGGCTAGCAATTGAAAGTAGCCCCCTTCAAGTATACAGTTCACCTCTGATCTTTAGCCCCATGTTGAGCCTCACGAGAAGATGTTATCAAAAGGAGAGACCCGATTGGGTTTTGAATGAGCCACTGGTGGACAAAGATTGGAGTCCATGTCTTCAAACCCTCGAGGGGCATAGCAGTTCGGTCAACTCGATTGCCTGGTCGCAGGATAGAAGCCGACTCGCATCAGGGTCAAAGGATAACACCGTCAGGATCTGGGATCCAGCCACCGGCCAGTGCGTATCAACCCTTGAGGGGCATAGCGGTTCAGTCAACTCGATTGCCTGGTCGCAAGATGAAAGCCGACTCGCATCAGCGTCGGATGATAAGACCGTCAGGATCTGGGATCCGGCTACCGGGCAGTGCGCGTCAACCCTCGAGGGGCATAGCCATTGGGTCAATTCGATTGCCTGGTCGCAAGATGGAAGCCGACTTGCATCAGCGTCCTTTACTAACGCCGTCAGGATCTGGGATCCGGCCACCGGCCAGTGCGCGTCAACCCTCGAGGGGTATAGCCATTTAGTCAACTCGATTGCCTGGTCGCAAGATAGAATCCGACTCGCATCAGCGTCCTTTAATAACGCCGTCAGGATCTGGGATCCGGCCACTGGCCAGTGCGTATCAACCCTCGAGGGGCATAGTGATTGGGTCAACTTTATTGCCTGGTCGCAAGATGGAAGCCGACTCGCATCAGCGTCCTCTGATAACACCGTCCGGATCTGGGATCCGGTCACTGGTCAGTGCGTATCAACCCTCGAGGGACATAGCCATTGGGTCAACTCGATTGCCTGGTCGCAAGATGGAAGCCGACTCGCGTCAGCATCGGGTGATAACACCGTCAGGATCTGGGATCCGGCCACCGCGCAGTGCGCGTCATCCCTCGTGGGGCATAGCCGTGGGGTCAAGTCGATTGCCTGGTCGCAAGATGGAATCCGACTCGCATCAGGGTCCGTTGATAACACCGTTAGGATCTGGGATCCGACTACCGGGCAGTACGCGTCAACCCTCGAGGGGCATAGCAGTTGGGTCAACTTGATTGCCTGGTCACAAGATGGAATCCGACTTGCATCAGCGTCCTTTGATAACACCGTCAGGATCTGGGATCCGGCCACCGGGCAGTGCGCGTCAACCCTCGAGGGGCATAGCGAGTCGGTCAACTTTATTGCCTGGTCGCAAGATGGAATCCGACTCGCATCAGGGTCCGCTGATAACACCGTTAGGATCTGGGATCCGGCCACCGGGCAGTGCGCGTCAACCCTCGAGGGGCATAGCGAGTCGGTCAACTTTATTGCCTGGTCGCAAGATGGAATCCGACTCGCATCAGGGTCCGCTGATAACACCGTTAGGATCTGGGATCCGGCCACCGGGCAGTGCGCGTCAACCCTCGAGGGGCATAGCGAGTCGGTCAACTTTATTGCCTGGTCGCAAGATGGAATCCGACTCGTAACAGGGTCAACGGATAACACCGTTAGGATCTGGGATCCGGTCACCGGGCAGTGCGCGTCAACCCTCGAGGGGCATAGCGATCGGGTCAACTCGATTGCCTGGTCGCAAGATGAAAGCCGACTCGCATCAGCGTCGGATGATAAGACCGTCAGGATCTGGGATCCGGCTACCGGGCAGTGCGCGTCAACCCTCGAGGGGCATAGCCATCGGGTCAACTCGATTGCCTGGTCGCAAGATGGAATCCGACTCGCGTCAGCGTCGGATGATAACACCGTCAGGATCTGGGATCCGGCCACCGGCCAGTGCGAAACAACACTGCATATCAGCTCCTCCGCCTTCCTTCAATTTGATAAAGTCAATTTCAATCATCTACACTCGTCAATTGGTACATTTGATATAGGATTCACTGGTATTGTCACGTCCACTCCTCGCTGTTCGACCTTCCCGCAACACGGGTATGGTTTGAATGAAGACCGTTCCTGGATAACCTATAATGGCGTCAACCTCCTTTGGTTGCCTTCCGATTACCGACCAACTCATTCCTCTCTTTTTACTATGTCTGCAACAAATTTGGCGATCGGTTGTTCGTCTGGTGTTGTCATATTTCTCGCGCTTACGCAACAGAGTCCCATCCCTCGCCTTTGATCAATGTTTATATTGCTTCAGATCCCTGTGCCTTTCCTATATACGTTTCATCTTGAATAGCCTATATGCTTATGCCCAGGATCGCCTTTAATAAAAAGAAGTCGTGAGACTGTAGAATCCCGAATCGGGACTGCCTGCGCGATCAAATTGAGGGCTTTCAAGCCGCAGATCAATACATTCAAACGCTAGGGCAACCGGTAGTTAACCACCTAAGAGAGACTTAACGCACGATCTGAAGAATCGGGATCCTGCGCTCGAACTTCATCACCGTTGGGATAGGAGTGGTTAATCATCGTCCTCAATTTCCTAGTAAATCAACTTCAGCACATTTTGGTCACCCAGGGTTCAGAGAGGGTGGGACCCAAGGAATCCAGCAATTCGTAGGGCGGATAAGTCGGTTGTACAGAAAAGTTTTACCCAACCAGTATTGTATCTACGTAGGTCTTTACTCGTCCACTGTGTTAGGAGAGTGAACGTGGTTGACCAAGATGAGAGGTGTTGTGGCAAACAACCGACCGAATCCTGCCAACTGGGGCCTGGCCCATACTACCATGATACGATAGCTATTTTTATGCCATAATTTATTACCGTACTAACATATTGCCAAAAGTGTGGGTCAGGGGTAGGCTAACCGTAAAGGGTATGGCGTCATGCAAAACAGAGTTCAACAAAGAATTGAAGAGACTAAAGAGGTGAAACTGATTTCGAGCGCGTCTGTATCAATCTCTTAGTGTTCAAGCATTGCCGATTTAATTGAAGCAACATCTCTCAATTATGAGAACGTTACAGTCACTAGCGAAATCAGCTTCCTCCCTACTGGGGCCTGAGGGAAGAAAAGCAGTCAGTAGCGAGGAAGCTGATTTCGCTAGTGACTGTATGCAAAAAACAATACATACCCCAGAAATATGTATCTCACATGTCAGATTGTTCCAACTCTTTCTAAGATGGATCAAGAGAATCCCGAAAGCCGTTCGGGATTCAATTCCCCTTGTTCCCAATCGGCTGCCCTCCGGGCGAGCGGTTTCGAAACCGACCGATACGATTCCTCCGCGAAGTGTAACACCGTGTTGCCTCACAGGATAGTTTTAACATACCCCCATTATCTTCGCAACCCCTCCTACGCTGGAAACGCCTGTTCAACAAACTTGTCACTTACTTTCGCGACGTTTACCTTAACCGAAATGCGGGCGTAGGATGAATTACCCTCGTACTTTCCCCACCCTCAGATATGCATGTAACAAAAAGTATATTTGTTTTTTAGCAAGTTTTCAAGCTAGGGTAAGTTCGGGTCCGTAGATTAACACCCCTGTATCGCCCACCCGCGCCCAATGAAATTGACAGTTATTATATGAGATGTATGCATTTTTTCCACTTGTCGGCATTTGTGAGTAACCTGTATCAAGAAATTAGCGGTGTTCCTTTTTCTCTGTGGAATGAAAATCAAATGGTTACTGTGTAGCCAAAAAGAGAGGAATTGCTCATAACTATGTTTGCTTTACCCTATTTATCATCTCTATTGATGACTATAAATAGCTTTGCTTTCCCTGGAAGCCCATCATTCGAATTTAAACCGGTTGCCACAGTACAAAATGCAGCTTCCAACTTATCTCTTTATAGCTGCCTTAAGTTCCAGTCTTGTCCTTGGACAGAAGTTTACATTTGATCAGACTGCGAATAAACAATTCAAAATCAAAGCCGATGGTGTTCATGGCTGCAGCGGCGAAACTAATTCGTTCGGCAAGTATATAATTTTTCTCAAATAGAAGATATCATAATGACATAGTAGCTCAGATTGGCCATCCAGAAGCTTTTCCATTCAGAAGGATCTCTGCACCTCCGCATGGATAATTCTGAGTTATGATGACCAGTCAAAAAGGGGAACTGTTTACTGGGCGAACTCTGGAGGAGACGTGGCAAAGTGCTCTGTTAATATGAAGAATATTCCGACTTCTTGCGATGTGGAGAACTCGGGCATGTCATCTGAAGAATCAACGTCGGCAGGATCAACGTCGGCAGGATCAACGTCGGCAGAGTCAACGTCGGCAGGATCAACGTCGGCAGAGTCAACGTCGGCAGGATCAACGTCGGCAGAGTCAACGTCGGTGTCATTGAAAATAATAACAACATTTTCTACAGTCTCAACGTCTGTGACACCTACAGGTTGTGCAAAATAGTGGGCCTTGGGGACACCATATTGAAAGAGAGGCGCTCAGATCTGCAATATAGCAAATTCAGTTGGAAGTAGATCTCCTGGGACAATATAAAGAAAGGATAGTTATTGGATTTATCCGTCTACTTATCAGGTTTCTAGATCAAGTATGTGTTTTCTTTTGAGTTAATTGAAGCTTAGATAGTTAATAAACCATGCTTTTATATTCTTTCATTCGCAGTTTTTTTTTTACAAGCTTCTCGTAAGCTATATGATAGAGATATCCCTATGCAAAATATTACAACATTAATATTTTCATTGTAACTGCTACAGGTGTCCCAGCGCTTATTTTGACGAAGGTGGGATTTTTTGCTTGACGGGGATCGATCATATAGTAGCCCCACTTATTCTATTTTCTTTTTGTTGCTGAATGTCTTGAGGTGTATGAGGAAACCAAGCGAAGCAAATATTCTAGCTTAGATATTGCAATAAAACGGTTGCATAGGGATAATCTAGATCAATTTCATATGTTCGAATGTTACATTTTGCTACAGTAGCGACCAGTATTGAAGATATATTTATTAGCTTTGGACCTTGATTGTTGCATTCAAATCATCAACGTATATTGTATAACAAGTGAATGCGCATTGATTATCTAAGTAAACAACACATTTTTCTTATGTGTATGGTTAATTGTCTCGCGCATTCTACGCAGTGATCTTTTTTCTTAAAATGGGGAAATCTCTGTTCTCGAGAGATATCGTCTAGTGAAATATATTGTCACCCTACCTGAGTTGCAATTTATACACACATTCGTCCACTGCGAGAATCACTGGAGCCCTTTCTATTGTGGTGCCTGCCTGTCCAAAATGACCATGGCCCACCCAATAGACATACGCATATTGTGCAATTTATATGCCGTTACTTATTACTGTGCTTAGATACTATCGAGAAGGGATCAGGTGTAGGCTAACCGCCAAAGTTATGTCGTTACGTAAAGTAGAGTTCAGCAAAGAATCGAAGATAGTAAGGAGGTGAAACCGATTTAAAGCATGTCTATACCAATCGAATCGATAATGGTTTAATTTAGAAGTTGCTCTATTGTTATAAAATCAGAGCTCAAGTTCACCCCTTGTCAAATCCACATTACCCAGGTCAGCTACATTATGCCATAGTCGTTGTTGCAATTGACTTTCGCCGGAAGCTTGAAGGCCTTCTTCTAGAGGGAGATTTTGAATCGAAGCAATCCAATTGTGATAACTCTCTTGCGAGAAATGGTCTTTTCTCAAAAATTTCACTGCGGCCTCGCTGAACTCCTGCACAACTAATTGTGAGGCTGGAAAAATGTTGATGATAATATTTACCGCAACATGCAGCATCTTCATCGAACAGGTGCTCTTGTTCCTGTAAATCTTTATCAATATCATGCAATCAATGGTTCAGGGGCGGAAGACAGCACAATTGAGTATCCATATCTTTTCCACAAGTGAGAAGGATGCCTGCTCCGAGATAGTTCACCATTTGAGCCCATCGTTTCCCTCTGCTTCTCTCTGTATAGAGGCGTTGCCGATAGGTGTCTTTTATGCTTTTATCCATTCTGTCCCAGTTGGTATGGTAGTGTCGTAGGAGATAGTCTACTACCGAAGAGCCCGGGTTCGAAGACAGTCCATCGACCCGACCAGCAAACATCATTCTGCATTTTTCAAACCATAAGAACAATCGGATTCTTGACAGCCGCTGAAGAACCCTCTGTGTTTCAGGGTCTTTATCTAAACCTGTGTATATCATATCCAAAGAGAGATCCTTTAAATTTCCTGGCTCGTCCCTCTCAAAAACTGGGTCTTTTGGCCAAAGTCCATGTTCTAGCCAAGACGAGAGGTGGATATCAATGAACTGTCTCATATCACGTCGGAGCCATGATAACCCTACTTTGATGGCACATGTGGCTCTGCTCCAATCGTGGTCCATATCATCAAAAAGCATGTTTTGGGATGCCATGTAATCGAGGGCTCCATGGTATAAAGGATCAATCTCTGCCTTGATGGATTGAAAGAAATCGCAAGCTGGGTTGTAGGCTGAGTAGTCTAGATAAGCATCAAAAGATGGTTGTGGAGTTGGGCTTGCGTTATCGGATGCCTGATGTCTCGACGGATCGGCCGGGGCGTTTGGCGCTATAAAGTAAGTCGACTGTACTTCAGAAGTTGCGTCTTGCGGATGCAACGTTAAGGTCTGTAAGTTGGTTTCACAGCTTTGTGGTTCACAGTAAACGTGGTTCTGGATAGTGAAAAGAGGGCATTTTTGTTCGACATAATTCGCTATTGCCTTCCTGGAATAAGAATCTAGTTGGTCTAGATGAAGTACAGTCTCGATTAAAAGATCGGCTGCCTTAGAAACGGAACTCTAGTAAGCATTGGAACACATATCCGCATAAATACTTTACTTACATCAGTATCCACAAGGTCAGACGGGGGGCTCGGTTCGCTCTGACAAGGAATCTATCGAGCACACAGTTAGTCACATTCTATCAAATTCATTTCTAGCTACTTACTGGTATTTTACAGATCAAATATGACATTGTTTAGTTAAAGAGGGTTCGACATCGAGTTGAAGATTAGCAAGACTAGAATGCGGCAACGGGACCTAAGCGAATGGTATTAGGCATTGAGAAGATCTCTGTCATTTTATCATTAGCCATTCGGATGTATTTCTTTCGCAAATCCAGTGCCAAAAGAAACAACGACTATCAAAAACAATGTCTAATCTTAAACCGGGTGTCCCACGGCAGACAAAATTATACCCGGCCTGCAAACTAGTCCCACAGGGTGGATTTTTAAAGTGCCTATACCTTCGA